AGACGGACTTGCAATAATTCAGAACAGACTTTCATTTATCCAGGACTGAGCAAACAGATGTGAACTTGTTCAATTCCACATCTGGGATTCAGTTACTCCAGTCTATTTCCAAAGCTCCAGTGAGGTGCAAATGAGAGTACTACAGCAGCCATATCAAAAATAAAAGAAAGTAAAAAGCCATGAGTGGGGAGACATTTGATTCAGTGATCAACAGGCCTGCCCTCAAAATCACAGTAACTCTTCTTGCTAGTTTACAATATTGCACCATTAATCTACCTCTCTCCATTGACTGCAAGGTGGTATTATCAGGCGGTGGGGGAGAGGGATGTTTTGACACCACCCTGTCTTGTGCTTAATGTATCTGTTTTGCATTAGCTAACTGACACGATAAAGCAGCAACTGGAAAAAAACAGGAAGTACATTCCATATACTTCTATCGCAAGTCTCTAAAAAAACATTCAGGAACAGGCATTATCCCTTACAACTTTCTATAACAGTATGTCTTTCCAGGTATCCAGTTGCAATTTGGCAAGGATGTTCTCATCAGAAAAATCAATGTTATCACATTCTATCTTAAAACAGTACTGGCACTTAAAAAAAAGGGAATACCACTCAAAAATTCCCTCTACCAATTTCTATGAAATCTAGCGTGCTTCATCCTTTAGAGTTTGGTTGTACGTTTCAATCTCTTCTGCTCAAAAATATGAGTGTTGAATGAAAAGGGAAGTCTCCAATATTTTAAGTCACTGACAGCTGGCAATATTGGTGCATTAGAAGCTCCGTTATGTTCTTCAGCAATCCATAGATCATCATATGCTTTCACCAAACCCCACCCCCAAATCAAAACCTATGCTTTGGCAGGAATACTCATGATTATAATTTTTGGGGAATGCAGATAGATTTCCTTGATCCTAGCACTACTATCAACTCTACATCACAACACTCAAAACTTTGAAACGATTATGCAAAATTCAGAAATGTAAACTTTTGCTGCAACATGACACTAGGCATCATGAATTATCCAAGAGGCAATTGTGAGGTTGGATCTCACCACCACTCCATCTTCCATAAAGTCCAAATATGGCACCATGTGACTTCCACCTTTCCCCAAAATTGAAGGAATACCTTTGTGGGCATCTGTTTGACTCAGAGGTGGAAACGACTATCAGGGCCTGCTTTAAGAGATAAAGTATGGAGCTTTTTTGTGACACCTTTTAAGAAGCTTGTCCATCATTGGCAGAAATGTGTTGTAAATAGTGGTGATGATGTGCATGAGTAAATATTGGCAACAAAAGAGCTCATTTCAAGGATTATTTTTCTGTTTCATTTATTAAAGTATCCCTATTTAGAGTCATGGAAGTCAAGCATTACTTTTCATTCAACCCTCACCAAAAAAATTACAGCCATGGTTTCCCTGTGTTAGCTAACTGAACAACAGGCAATTGTTTTCCTAAATCATGCTGCAGATGGGGATATCAAGTTCAATGAGACTAACTCAAAGAGGTCTGGGCCACTTGTGAAGATTTTAATCCCTGAGTGACACTTAGGGAACAAATTTGAATAGTTAATATGTGGTGCCAAGAAAAAAAAACTCATTTCATTTCATTTATATTTTTAATCAAAATTAAATACAGCTCATTAATCTTGGGCTCCAATTTTCTGAACCAAGACATAAACTCTGAGGAAGAGAAGAGTTGGATTATTAGCATTTCAGGAAGTTGAAAGTAAAAACCTGAAAATTTGTAGTAATGGCTTCTACCACCAATCAGCTTCATCCATTACAGACAAGTGTCTTGAAATGTACAATATGTATTTTAAGTCAGCAAAGGTTTAGGGAGAGAGAAAAACCTCTCTTTTCTCACCCTTATTGCTGTTAATGATTCAAACCAAATTATGAAAAAAAAATCACTAGAAATGCATTTATAATCTGTATGTTTTAAGCAGAGATTAATCCAAATCATTCCCATAAAACATTTAGACAGCAATACACACTTTGAAAATGATTCGCAAGAAGTGCTTCAGTCTTTCCCCAAGCACAGCATCTTTAGATATTCATCAAAGCAATCCATTTCTTTCAGGCTTTTACATGATCCCGAAAAAAGATGCCACCTCTTTAATAAGTTAATGATTATGAGTCAACTTTTTAAAGCAATGGCATTTTATTTTCAGGCTGTATAAATAGCATCTATACTGCTTACCCACTTCCTTGCAGTCTGAATGGATCATTTTGAATCATTTTTGAAGCATACACAGCCCTA